TCTTGAAAAGTTGTCCAATGACCCCAATTGTATATTCTGGGCTTGTAATTTTGGAAGTAACTTGAACATTTTTTTAACTTATATATATATTATACGTATTTATATTTTATAAAGGAAATATATATTTTATAGAGGTTGACAATTTGAACTCATAGGGGCTGGCTAGAAGATTTGTTTAAAAAATAATTTGCAAGCTTGACACTGAGAGAAAAAATAGTGCATGTAAAGTGCTGTAGGGGAAAATTTGAGAAAAATAAAAATGGCATGGATATGGCAAAGTATCACTATACTCATCTTTAATTTCCTCAGCTGAACAAAGACGAATAGCTAGGGCAGTAACATTAGGTTCCTACAAGGAAATTACAATTGTCATATGGTCAGTATAGTGATACTTTTCTGCACTCTTTATTTTATGTTTTACAACATGACAACTGTAAAACATTTAAATTTTCACTGCAAGGATTTTTTTGATGATTTAAAAATAATCAAGAGGATAACATTTTGTAAAAGTCACTCTAATTTGCTATCTTAATGAACAGGAATGAAATATTGATACACAATGTCACAATCTTGCCCAAAGCATTTTCTTAATGAATGAATGTAGAATATTTGGATGAATATGTATTTAGAATTTATAATGACTTATTTTTCTTGTGACAATAACAAAAATCAATTCATGAGTGAATGATGAATATCAAGTTGTTTTTAATTAAACTGAGATACCCAGCTTTCTGACTATTTATATTAAGGTAGATTGCTAAACAGAAATAAAAATATTGTCATTTTCTTTACATGATATTTACATGATATTTCATGTCAGGAGAATGAAGAAAATGGAATAAAACTACATGTAATTTTCACGATTTCAAGATTTGATGACATTTGTGAAAATATAATTGCACAAGTCACTGACACAAACTAGAAGGACCCCAAGAAATTTTCATTTCAGCAAAATTTTGTAATTTTCACTGACTCACAAAATTTGCGAAAATTTCACTCTTGCGAAACCGGTTTGCAGTGGACAACTCATGAAAAATTAAGTTGTGTACACAAAAATCAGACATGCAATGTACGAAGGCTGCAAGTGTTTCTTTAATCACATTTTTATTGTGCATACTTAATTTTCATGCAAGACTATAACTTCCTAATTCTGTCACAGTACGGTAGTTGAGATTGCCTGTCATAGAGTATGTGATCCCAATAATTGAATTCAAGCTCTCTCAAGTTATCTCAAGTTATCAAACCTGCTTAGCTTGAGTTATTATACCCCAAAACTGAATCTTACACTCAACCAACACAGTCTAAAATACTCTGCAACAAAACACTGGAACTCATTGCTTGATGCATTTAAAACCATCACTAAGAAACACATATTTAAAGCAAAGTTAAAAAACTATTTCTTCAATATTTGATTTGTAATATTTTCTTTCATTAAACTATGAAATTATATACATATATACAAAGGTTACGGACCTGACTATAGTTCTAATGAACAATATCTGTAATCCCCACCAAAAAAAAGGAAAGTACTCTAAGTAGAATTCATTATTTTTTTATATATATATTTACTACCTGTACAATTTCTACGTTTAGTGTTCTTTTCAAAACTTTGTTTTTGGTGAAATAAATTTCATTCAAATTTCAATCATTCATTCATTCATTCAAGTTGTCTTTCTTTTCTCCTAGAACCTTAATTGTTAGTACCGGATTATCCACTCCAAATGAGCCTCCATTTAATGGATCTGAGTTTACAGTAGGATATAAAGACATGTCATTGAATAAAGAAGACTATGAAGGCAAGACAGTATTGATTCTTGGTAAAGGAAATTCAGCATTTGAAACTGCTGATCATATCATGGGAAATACCAATCTTATTCACATGGTAGCACGCACACGAGTCAGATTATCATGGGAGACACATTATGTGGGAGATTTGAGGTAAACTTTAATTTATACGTATAAATATTTGTCTGTCTGTCTGAGCAAATTGAGTGTGGGTACCTGAAATTGTTTCTATAGAGAAAGTGAGCCATAATGTATCTATCTGGGTCCCATTTATTTTGAATTGGAAATTGGAAAGTCAAAATACCTACAATAGAGGTTAAAAACCCAAAACCTAGTTCGTTTGATTTTACTTATAATATTCATTGAATAATGAAAACAAAATGACTGGAACTCCAGTTTCAAAAATATTTTAGCCACATCCATTCCATCTTTAGCGATATACAATGATTTCCACATCAGTGTACATTATGTACAGTAGGAATCCGTGAACAAAAAGGATTATCAATATTCGTATCACTTGGACTTGCAGATCACAGGATGATGACATGTTATGCTAAAGGCATGAAAGAATCAATACCGTAGCAATCTCACATTGGATAAGATCTAGCAAACATGATTAGTTCTAAATCAACACAATCAGCAGATACATGGGGAAATTGCTTCCAGCAATTATGCTACTCATCTTGGACAAGTGAACAGTTATTTTTTTCTCTTCTACAGTTAACAATATAGCTCTATTTCTGTATTCCCAAGAGCTAGATGAGAATGAGATTCATATATTCACAGCTAAATCTATTTTCTACATATTTAATTTTAAAATGTGATGTTCGTCACAAATTGTTATGTTTGATATTGGGGTTCCATGCAACACATTCATTTATATACATGATCATGGTGACCATTACTCTTTAAGGATGCAGTTGACATTATTAGCTAAAGTGACCTACAGGGTACTCAAAATTCTTAACGGCAAGTTGTTCAAAGGAAATGAATGTTTAGCAACTTAATTTACTAATCCATTATGTTGAAATCTTATGAATATTTTTCTATTTCTAAATCTCTCTTCTGTTACTAATTAATTTACCATAATCTCTAATTCTAGATTACCCCTTCTTGCTGGCCTTATTAGACTGATAATTCAAAAGAATGCAAAAATAAACATTAAAAGCTTCATTGTACTCTTGACAAAACCAGTTTTTTCATACATCTTCATGCAGTGCTTCTATAAGGTCATTTGAAAATGTTCCAATTTTATTCCATCAGCAAATAGAAATCTCTTGTTTTAGTGTGTGGAATTTATAAATATAATAAAATGGCTTTGTAGTGCTGAGAGTTATAATCCCAATTAATGTATGAATAATTGGGCTTCCTTGGTCCTTGTTTTTCAAACATAACTGTTGCTACTGAGAAGTCAGTCAGGTAAACACTGTAGCTGTTGTCCAGATGACTGTTGCTACTAGGCATTCAATCTGGTAAATGGTCTGGCTGCTGTCCAGATGACTGTTGCTACTAGGCATTCAGTCTGGTAAATGGTCTGGCTGCTGTCCAGATGACTGTTGCTACAAGGCATTCAGTCTGGTAAATGGTCTGGCTGCTGTCCAGATAACTTGTTCCACTAGGCATTCAACAAGGTAGATGGTCCTGCAGCTGTCCAGATGACTGTTGCTATTAGGCATTCAGTGAGATAAATTGTCTGGCTGCTGTCCAGATGACTGTTGCTACTAGGCATTCAGTCTGGTAAATTGTCTGGCTGCTGTCCAGATGACTGTTGCTATTAGGCATTCAGTGAGATAAATTGTCTGGCTGCTGTCCAGATGACTGTTGCTATTAGGCATTCAGTGAGATAAATTGTCTGGCTGCTGTCCAGATGACTGTTGCTATTAGGCATTCAGTGAGATAAATTGTCTGGCTGCTGTCCAGATGACTGTTGCTATTAGGCATTCAGTGAGAAAAATTGTTAGGCTGCTGTCCAGATGACTGTTGCTGCTATGCATTAAGTTTTGTGAATGGTCTGGCTGCTGTCCAGATGACTGTTGCTATTAGGCATTCAGTGAGACAAATTGTTAAGCTGCTGTCCAGATGACTGTTGCTATTAGGCATTCAGTGAGATAAATTGTCTGGCTGCTGTCCAGATGACTGTTGCTATTATATAGGCATTCAGTGAGATAAAGTGTCTGGCTGCTGTCCAGATGACTGTTGCTATTAGGCATTCAGTGACAAAAATTGTTAGGCTGCTGTCCAGATGACTGTTGCTATTAGGCATTCAGTGAGAAAAATTGTTAGGCTGCTGTCCAGATGACTGTTGCTGCTATGCATTAAGTTTTGTGAATGGTCTGGCTGCTGTCCAGATGACTGTTGCTATTAGGCATTCAGTGAGACAAATTGTTAAGCTGCTGTCCAGATGACTGTTGCTATTAGGCATTCAGTGAGATAAATTGTCTGGCTGCTGTCCAGATGACTGTTGCTATTAGGCATTCAGTGAGAAAAATTGTTAGGCTGCTGTCCAGATGACTGTTGCTGCTATGCATTAAGTTTTGTGAATGGTCTGGCTGCTGTCCAGATGACTGTTGCTATTAGGCATTCAGTGAGACAAATTGTTAAGCTGCTGTCCAGATGACTGTTGCTATTAGGCATTCAGTGAGATAAATTGTCTGGCTGCTGTCCAGATGACTGTTGCTATTATATAGGCATTCAGTGAGATAAAGTGTCTGGCTGCTGTCCAGATGACTGTTGCTATTAGGCATTCAGTGAGACAAATTGTTAAGCTGCTGTCCAGATGACTGTTGCTATTAGGCATTCAGTGAGATAAATTGTCTGGCTGCTGTCCAGATGACTGTTGCTATTATATAGGCATTCAGTGAGATAAAGTGTCTGGCTGCTGTCCAGATGACTGTTGCTATTAGGCATTCAGTGAGATAAATTGTCTGGCTGCTGTCCAGATGACTGTTGCTATTAGGCATTCAGTGAGATAAAGTGTCTGGCTGCTGTCCAGATGACTGTTGCTATTAGGCATTCAGTGAGAAAAATTGTTAGGCTGCTGTCCAGATGACTGTTGCTATTAGGCATTCAGTGAGACAAATTGTTAGGCTGCTGTCCAGATGACTGTTGCTGCTATGCATTAAGTTTTGTGAATGGTCTGGCTGCTGTCCAGATGACTGTTGCTATTAGGCATTCAGTGAGACAAATTGTTAGGCTGCTGTCCAGATGACTGTTGCTATTAGGCATTCAGTGAGACAAATTGTTAGGCTGCTGTCCAGATGACTGTTGCTGCTATGCATTAAGTTTTGTGAATGGTCAGGCTGCTGTCCAGATGAATGTCACTACAGTTAGTGAGGGAAATAACATTGCTGCTGTATATAATGTTACACTGAATTTACCTGTAATGAATATTGATTGTCTGTCTTGTTAGTAGACATGTAAGGTGCCAAAACCTTGTCTAACCAATTAACTTCTGTAAATTGTATTAATCTAAATTGATACTGATCTATTTGAAGGACAGTGTTTGGTGTGACACATTCTGTTCAGTGTTTGTCCCATGGGATGCATGTAACACCTTTAAAATTTGAATGTGTGCAGCACAATGACCACTTGATTTGACATAACAAATAATAGTCAAGTAATAGTCTTATTTCCTTTGAATGTAATGGTGCCAAGCTGGAGTAAAATATAATATATTAAAATTTGCCTAAATTGCATACATTCAGACTTTATATAAAATCACAGGTGTACATTGCTTTGTGGACAGAAAAAATACTTGGTTATTTTGACCAGCGTGTCTGTAATCAAAACCCAATTTAGGTTGCATAAAATGGTAAGAAAAACCTGTTAACTGGGATTATTTTATGATAAGAGTGGAGTAATTTTTATCTTTTTAGCTCCGCTGTCGACTTTGTTGAGCGGAGCTTATCATATGAGTGATTGTCCGTCGACCGGCGTCCGTCGTCCGTGTCAATGTTTTACTTTTTCGACTTCTTCTTGAAAACTACAAGCCTACATATATAGGTACTACATGTGGATCTCTCTCAGATTTGTTCATTTTATAATGATATCTTTAGTTCTCTAATTTTTGGTGAATATTTTTGTAATTTTTGGTAAAAAGTGATATTTTTGACTTCTTGTTAAAAACTGCAAGTCCAATTGCTTTGATATTACATATATAGGTACTACATGTGGACCACTCTCAGATTTGTTCATTTTGTAATGATATCTTAATTATCTACAGTAATTTTGGTGAATATTTTTGTCATTTTTGGTAAAAAGTGATATTTTCTTCTTGTTAAAAACCACAATCATTTATGGTGAAAAATGATATTTTTGAATTTTTGTTGAAAACAGCAAGTCCCATTGCATTGGTACTATGTATATTGTTCATTTTCTAATGATATCTTCTGTTCTATAATTGAAATGTGCATTGCAAACAGCGGAGCTATCTCAGCCGAGAGGCTGCTTGTTATCTTGTTCAATCAGTGTGGAATAAGCCATTACCATGTAGCCACAGGGGGAGAAAGGAATTTATGTGTGAGGTTTTCTGATTGGAGATGTGATACCACAACTGACTTTAATGAAGATTGAGAGATACCTAGGGAAAATGACAG